ATTTTATATAAATTATCAATGAATTTTGTCCTGATGTCGATGAACTTCATGTTTGTACAAGACATTAAAAAGTGATGTTCATCTCCTACTTCATTTAACTCACAAAGTCTGCATAGTCTATCATTGTATGGGACATTGTTGTATCTGCCAGTTTCAACAAATAAATAAATGTACATAAAATTCACACTCGAAATGTACACTTCCAAACCCTTCTGCTAAAATTTTAAAATTTTCAATCATGAAATTTGTATTTTTGTGAATGAACTTTATGATTGACGTCTGGCTGTGGAATTCAGTCTTAGTATCTGAACATATTAGGCAGGTGGAGTGGGGGTATGCCCATAGGCATAATATATGTTCATGTTACTCATATTGAGAAGGTTTGGAAATATTTCATATTTTAAATGTATTCCAAGTGTGTGTGTGTGTATGATTGCGCAATTTATTCGTACACGCGACATATGTAACCAACTGATAAAGATCAGAATGATGTCACCACGCTGTTCCAGACGGGAGCATATTTTTGCATTTTTTACGCACGCAATTTTATATTAATGTGCCGGGTAGTTTGTGGCAAGCCAGGGCGTTGGCGCGCATGCAAATTCGACTCTGCAGGTGGCGTCAGATCTCATGCAGTCAATACTATTTACTTTCTTGCGTATTGATAGGTATGTCCTATATACCATAGGACATGAAACTGCACTGACAAGGAAGCGGTGTTTAAACTTATTAAACATAAGAAATAATATAGAAACTTACATATTATCGTTTCGACCGTCCATCGTCTTCTCAACATTGCATTAGAACTGTTCTCTCCAATGATTAATTTATTCCAGCTTTTATAGGAAAGGACTAGTGATCGTTTGATAACACAAGGATTGAACCCCTTTCTCAGAGGCGAAAGGTGCAATGTAATAACCTCTGTGCAACCATGCTCGTAGTTACCTCTATTCATCGTGGTTATTTTCGCCGTCCATCGAGGACACTATCAAAGTTTCTGTGATGACAGTAGGAATTTTGGATGGGTAAATTCTAAGTTTTGAAAGATTTGTAAGAAATGTTTGAGGGAACTGACTAACACCTGTATTCTAAAAGCTCACTCACACTCAATGAGTGGAGGTTCAATCTGAGCTTCTCTTGAGTGTCAATGCTGTTTTTGAATAGCTGGAGGGTGAGTAGTCACCGAGTAAGATATGACACTAGCCCTCCAGCTATTCAAAAACAGTATTGACACTCAAAAGAAGCTCAGATAGAACCTCCACTCATTGAGTGCGAGTGAGCTTTTAGAATAAGGGCGTTAGTGTTAAACACTGAGTCAGTTCCCTCAAACATTTCTTGCAAATCCTTCAAAACTTAGAATTTACCCATACGAAATTCCTGCTGTGATCTCGGAAACTTTGATAGCGAAGCCTTAAGAGTTAAGGCCATTAAGGCCGCGGTCACACTAGCCCGCTTGTGCGTGAGGATTATCAGTGGAGAATGCTTTGAGCTAAATACTGAAAGACATGCGGTATTCATGTCTCGAATTATGACAACCTAAATTATAAAGTATTTTAATCTGCTTTTGCAATGGTTTACAAATTTTGGTGTGAATTGAATTTTTTGACATTTTATGACATTCTACCAAGAGTCTTGCGCAACCTCGTTCCCAGGCTCTTCCCTGTTGAGGAGAAAGCCTGGACTATGTACCTGCGATACATGGTCTGATACGGAATACGATTACAATTAGCATATCTATACTCTATAGTGCAGTTTTTACATGTGGATATGAACAAATGCGCTTCACATCAAGTAGACTATTTTATCTTCACAACAATTGTGATATTACTTTCTTAACTGTGTTTATCCTAACCCACCCTGTCAACTTTCCCTGTGGGAGGAAACCAGAGCACTCGGAGAAAACCCACGACTTTCGGCACAGCGTTGACTGACTCTTTTATCATTTTAACAACTTTATTACACCACATCATTATACATTAGAAATAGATACAAACACTAATACAGATTATTCAATAGACAAAAGCCTAAATGATCGACGATGCATTTCAAGTAACATTTATACATAGATAACATATAGAGCAGGTTTAAGTCGCAGAGTTAAATAGCAAATAATTGCAAACCATGATCAAATGCAATTTACATCAAGTATCATACGCTTACCTAAATACATACTTAGGCTACAGACTATTTTATCTTTATAACAATTGTGATATTACTTTCTTAACTGTGGTTATCCTAACCCACCCTGTCAACTTTCCCTGTGGGAGGGAGCACTGACAGACTTTTTCACAATGAGTCCGTAGCGAGAATCGAACCCACAAACTCAGAGGTGGAAGGCGTTTTTTCTGACGACTGCGCAACCGAAGCCCCATTCTGAAAACTTCCACTCTTCCTCAGCTGGTACTTATTCACCACATAAGTCAACCAGTGAGTGCGGAGGTATTAAAATTAAGAAGTTATTTCCAGTTGTGATAATTTATAAAACATTGCATGCTTGTGGTTGACGCGTCAACTCTTTCCTCCAAGTGGGAGCTCTTAACTAATTAAGATGCGCAGATGTGTATTTTGGAATTAATAGAAAACAAACTGCGTATTTGAATCGAAGGAAATTTCGAGAGATCAAAGTTGCATTATCAACTAGACAGCACTTGGAGACTGCATACCTCTGCCAGCGAATTAAGCTGTGTAGTGTGTATCAATGGGCAATTCCAGCGATAGGCTACATTTTGATCTGGGCAAGAAGAACAAAATCCATCACCACAGCTAGAAAGAGCATGTTCAAATTAGTAAAAACTGCAAAGTTTGGCTGCGAAATGTTGTAAAATGCGGAAAATATAGCCCTGCGAAATTTTCAAATTATTTGTATTACGCGGGGTGCAGATGGTGCAAATTCCCGTGCGTAATACAAATTAATACAAAATTTGCAAATTTCTTAGGATTATATTTTCCTCATTTTACAACATTTCGTAACCCGGCAAATTTTGCAGTTTTTACTAATTTGAACATGCTCTCTTTCTAGCTGTGGTGATGGATTTTGTTCTTGCCTAGATCAAAATTTAGTCTATACTGTAGCTTGAATCATCCATTAATATACTGAATTACGCATTTAGTTTACAACGAACTGACAAATAAACAATCTCTTATAGTCAATTTAACTCATGTTTGCGACACCTGGCCAGTTAGATAAAGTTAGATAGATTTGTGAATTTTAATAAATTATTGTTGATGTAATGATAGTAAGTGTAATTGTAATTGTAATTGTTTGCGCTGAGATCTTGGACCACTAGGTTTAAAGGTGGCCCAGGCCCATTCCCTATGCTAAGGGAGGGTGAGTGTATGTCTGCCAGTCTAGTATTTGTAATTTGTATTGTAACTGATTGGAAATTTTGGAAAATTTTTAATCCCTTCTTGGAAACCTGCTTTTGCTGTAGGGGTTAGCGTAGTCAAATAAAGTTTTTACTTACTTACTTTACTTTACATACTTAAGCTGGAGTAATACGAGCAACAAAATTGCTGCTACTTGCAACAAAATCTGATTTCAAGGCATGTTAAGTACAAATGTTGACACATGTTGCCTCGTGATTTGTAATCAGGGTTCGTGAAAAACTTGAAAGTCCTTGAATGTCCTTGAACAAAAATTCAAGGCCTTGAATGTCCTTGAATTTGTAAAGAAGTACTTGAATGTCCTTGAATTCTTCTTGCTTTAGTTTTTGGATATTTTCTGAAATTGTTTGACATTCAAGACGGGCATTTTGTTGAACTGATTTTGCATGTTCATATCTGACCTCATTATAAAGTTACGTTTTGAACAATTCAACGTCAGATTTTGCTGATTTCTAACGCCTTCTTCTTCAGTATTTAGTCCTTGAATTTGCTGATACATGGCCTTGAATGTCCTTGAAAAGTCCTTGAATTTGACTCTTCCTGACATGTACGAACCCTGTGTAATGTATGTGTAAACATTTTCAATTAACATGCGTTGAAATCAGATTTTGTTGCAAGTTGCAGCAATTTTGTTGCCTGTATTACTCCAGCCTTTGCAGGGCAAAGTAAGACAAAATTTTGCTAATTTCTCATCTAATTTTCATCCAAATTTAACCAAAAGGTAATCAATTTCGCCTTGGGCAATGGTCCCATTAATTTTCATATTAATACCTTTGATATTTTTTAAATTATCGTGCACACACAGACAGACAAACGCACACAAACTGACACACAAACGGCCAGTTGAAGACAACAACTTTTGGCAGAGATCAGTACAGTACAGTACAGTACAGTACAGTACAGTACGGTGCGGTGCAGCACAGTTGTATCTCTCAAATCATGCGCTCAAAATTACTTCCCATAAATTGACATTTCGTGCAAGTGTGCCTTTCATATCCTAACTTATTTAAAGAATTAAAGCCTTAGTTTTAATTTGATTTCATCTTGTTTGCGTCACCGAAATCCCCTCTTGGCTTCACCCCAATTCGATCGCGTGCGCGCAACACTATAAATAAAGAAATTCCTATCAGCCACCTTTGCTCGTGACGCAAGTATGTTTCGATATGTAAGGCGCAACGAAGCCCTGTCATAAATAAGCATAATTTGCGCGCGGCGTCCAATTCAGTCGCCAATGACAAAGTACACAAACTGTACCAGTCTGCGCACTCCGTTGTCTTTCAAAATAAAATACCGATTTCCTCCGTGCTGAAGTATTCGTCAAAACAAACTACTAATTGGATGTAAACGTGACCGGTTAGGTTATTTTTAATAACAACAAAGTTTATTCAAACAAGCTACCAAAACTGGTACATAGTATGCAAGACGTATTAGATTTACTAACATAGACTAGACTAAAATTTAGCGTTATACTAGTTATAATAGACAACTTGCATGTTAGACTAATTTCCGATCTAGGCAAAAAAGGTAAATTCACGAAAAATTAGTAAAATTCGGGTTACGAAATGTTGTGAAATACGGAAAATCTAGCTTTGCGAAGTTTGCATGTTTTGTATATGTTTGTATTACATGCGGAAATTGTTACCATTTTTGAGCCGAAAATCTCGCCGAAAATGGTAACAATTTCTGCACGTAATACAAACATATACAAAATTTGCAAACTTTGCAAGACTATATTTTCCAAGCTTTACAACATTTCGCAACCACATTTTGCAATTTTACTAATTTCATTATGTTCTTTTTAGCTGTGGTGCTTTATTCCCTTCACTTTACTTAGATTAAAATTTAGTTTAACATGCAAGTTGTCCACTGCGATACTTGGGTTATCGTTCCATGTTTCGCGCACCATTATAAGGTAGGGTTAGGGGTTAGGGGTTAGGTATTAGGGTTAGGGGTTAGTGTTAGTGTTAGGGGTTAGGGTTAGGTTTAAGGTTAGGGATAGGGTTAGAGTGTGTATATATGTATATGGAGGTATCCAGTTAACTTTTCAGTACACTATAATATCCATTACATAACGTTTACTATATTGGTGCGCGAAACATGGAACGATTACCGATACTTGGCTACCAATGTCCCCACTGGTTTGTCTTTCAGTATTAACATATACATTAGTATAGGTAATAGTATGGTTTCGACTGCAATTTGGAAATAAACATGCAGTCATGCACGAGTGAGTTTTTCAAAGACTATCAAAATTACACGAGTCTAAAGGACGAGTGCAATTTGAAGTCTTCGAAAAACTGGTGCTTTTCGAGACCAGTGTAATAAGCCCCAACCAAGTTATGTGGTCAGGGTAGTACCGATGAAATTTGTTCAAAAAGATGACGAGAACTCCATTAGAACCTGAGAACATTCAAACGTTTTCTTGTTAAATTTTTACAATTTGATAAATATAATAGTGGGGATGGGGTTTGCGTGTGGGGTGTGGGGTGTGGCAGCTGACCCCCCCCCTCCCCGCTGTGCATGGTCCTGGTTTTAAAGACCCTCACTCGCGTGTTTTCTCGTGTGTGTAATGCACATGAATCGTGCGATTGTCGTTGTATATAAATAGCTTATTGATACATTTCCAGTAAACATACCTATATTTCCAGTAACCATATCTCTACATTGGCAGGTATGCAGTCGGATTAGACGGTGATTATCTCTACATTGACAGGTATGCAGTTGGATTAGACTGTGGCGGTTCCTCGTCTGGTGCCTTTGCTGTGGTTTCTAGAAATGTTCTCTTGAAGGTATGTGTCTGGAAACAATCATTGATGCCTTTTAATTAGTAAATTTTAGCAAAAGCCTGCCATATTTCATAGACATAGTTCCAAAAATTATTCTAGAATTTATCGTTTCACTCATCAAATATAGTGAGGGGATTGATCAAAGAAGTTTATTTGTTATTACAGATTTAAAATTTTAAAAATTTATAAAATTTAAAAAAACTAATTAATAAGTCATGAAGAAAATTCATGAGGTGTTGTATCTATATATACATACACACAATTCTCCTGATTTGCATAAACATTTTCCTCGACTTCCTCAGTTGAAATCACTTCATTCTGAAAAATTGCTTGAAAACACGACTTTTAGTTCAGTTTATTGAGTTTATCACCCATTGGTGAGCGCGGATTTCCCAACAGGCTATTATTGCCCAATTGATAGTGGATCCGTCTCCGAGGTACCTACGATTTTAACGTCCTTATCCGAGAAGACGTGAAAGTCTAGCCATTTACTGATGTTAATGTAAAGGTAGCTCTTTCTCCTCAATTATTTTAAGACCTTGAGTAGGGGTCCGACAAGGGTGGTGTCGACGACACCAGAATAGCTGCCATTACAAATCATAGCTAAATTTGTTCCGCATAAATAACTACTAATAATATACATGAAAATATTTCTCAATTTTGATTGGCTAAGAGCAGTGCAATTTTTTCGAAATACAGTGCCGAAAAATGAAATACAGTGCAAATTTCTTAATTTTTTAAATTTTTGAAAAAATAGAGGATGCGTAGCCAGGTCAAATTACTTAATTTTCTTAATTTCTGAATGTGACTTACGCACGTGGCTGCATAATTTTTTCATGTATATATTATGAAAAATTGTAGTATGGTTTCTCATACAATTTGGAAAAACATACACTCGCGAGTTTTTCAAAGACGTCAAACTGCACTCGTCCTTCGGACTCGTGCAACTTTGATAGTCTTTGAAAAACTCACTTGTGCATGTTTTTTCCAAATTGCACTCGAAACCAAACTATTATCTATTATACAACAAACTTTATACAAACAATACTAATACATAGAATACAAAATATATTAAATTTACAGAGAGACTAGATTGAGAATTAGGATTATACTAGTTTTAATTGAGAAAAATTTGTTAGGACATCGAAGGCTACGTACATACTACATACTTGGCTACGAATGTCTCCACGGGTTTATCTTCAATGTGTCACATACGTGCCATTACACGCATTGTATGGGCCAACGCGTGCAGACAATGTGCATAGAGTATGCTTCACACAATTTTCCTAAGGAATTTGAGCGTTCAGTTCGCTATAATGACAATACTTGATACATGTGTCAGTTCAGATGTTATATCAGTATATGGGCGTAGCCGACAACGACACTGTATCTCTCTCCTCTGCGGAGGAGAGACACACTGTAGAGTTTACACGCTTGGCTTTCTCCGCGCAGGAATCGAATTTCCATCAACAAAACTCTTGAATTTATTAGAACGACCTCTGCATGGTTCCCAGGGATTAAAACTCGCCGAAACCCAATACAACATTTCATCATATATATGCCTATGGGCATCGATGAAAGCATCTAAAGCGTTATAAGAACTGTTGATTGAATTGCAAAGATCTATTACAGGCTTTAGGAAATACTTTGGTCATACAAAAATTCGAACACCATTTTACTAACCCAGAGTTTCATTTTCAAACTTTACATCACTATTTTGCAAAATAATTTGTCTGAATTTTCGTGGTAACGACATGTCCTGACAATAGGCTGTCCATACCAGTAGTTTCTGCTTCGCCTGCCTGCCTGCCTGTCTACCTGCCTGCCTGTCTGCCTGCCATCAATAAGTACATATAAGTAGATCAGTGGTCTGTGATGCATGATGACTTTTTTCCATCGTTGGACATTGGTTCGCAAAATTATTAAAACTAAATCCAACTGGATTTAGAATTCATGAATTTTAATTTAAATGGCCCAAACATGCGTGTAGCTGTGATTTGGCAATTTTTAATTGCCTCGTATATGGTCATTTTCCCTTGAAATACCACAAAAATGGTTTTAGTCAAAACAGGGTTCGTACGGGTCCCGGAAAACCTGGAAAGTCATGGAACAGTGGCGTAACGGGAGGGTGTCAGGGTGTCCAGTGACGGGGGGCCCCCGAACTTTAGGGGCCCCCACAAAAATGACCTTAAAAAATTTGATAGCACATTTCTGGGGAATTGAATTAATTGAATTGAATAAAAAAAAACCATTCTCTGGAAAAGGCAAAATCCGTCGAGAAATTTCCCGAAGCTGCGACGGATTAAGTACGTCGCGGCTGAGGTAAAGGACGAGATACTAGAATGAATTAATTGCAATTTCATTGGGTGTGTCCGGAAAAAATTTTGGACCCCTAAAATGGTACAATGTCCGAAAATTTTTTTTCGCCAAAAATAAATTGTTCCGAGAAAAATTTTTGGAGCCTATTTTTAGTGGAGCAAAGGGGCCCAAAGTGGCCGATTGACGGAGGGTCCCCAGCGGTTGCGTTACGCCACTGTCATGGAATTTCAATATTCCAAAATCCATGCCTGGAAATCCTGGAAAATTGAAATTTTACATAACATTAAATTATTTTACTTATTTCAATTTAATATGAATTAACAATAATATGAATTGTTATATAACGGATTTTTGCAAGAGCGAAGTGAATTTTGTTCTTTTATTATATCTGTTATGGTTAAAATATTAACGAATTTCAGAAATTCCAGACTTCCAGGTCATGGATTTTGAAAAAAAATTGTCATGGGAAGTCATGGAAAAGTCATGGATTTTAAATGGGAGAAGGTGCACGAACCCTGTCAAAAGCTTTAAAACCCTAATCTTTATTGATACAAAAAATAAATCTGTATAATCGATATTCATGAATGCATGCACATTGATGCACCCTGTATATAAGCCCAGCAAACCGGTAAACTAGCAAACACATAAAATTGACTATTGAGATAATCCCGCTTGAGTCAACCTTATTTCGACAACCTCATGTGAGTCAACTTTATTTTGCGCCCATAATTGTCATATTTAAAGTTATTTACATTTTTTCCCTAATTCTTACTATGCATGTATAGGCCCAGGGGGCTTCTAGAAACCTAATAGGCTTTTAATTAAGACCCCTTCAGGTTATATTTGTCAGTTCGAACTATTGAAAAAAAGAAGAGTATAACAATTTCTGAATTATATATATATATATAGGATACATATATATAACATAAAACATCAATATGCATAACTTGATTATACTTAAACTGTCTGTACCAGTGTGGGTAGTACCAATGTGAAATTGCTGTGCTGAGTGGTTATATTACTACCTGAAATAAACAAGCAGAAACTCGACTTTTCGATGTCAAGATATCAAATATAATATTGTATCATGCTTCCCCCATTTCCACTCAAGAAAATTTACCGCGAAAAGAAAAATTTGTAAAATGTTGATTGGCCGACACAAATTTTCCGCCACAATGTTAACAATGATATTTTCGGAAAATTTTCTATCCGTGGAAAATTTTCTTGAGTGGAAATGGGCCTTTAAAAAAGAGCACTTGATTCTCCTGTTTCCTGGTTCAATACGAGACGACCCGTACGGGAGAACAGTTCGAAACTGATAGAGCTATCCAGTTTAAAATAGATAAAATTAATTCAGGAGTTATAATTACACCGTTAATTAAATATTCAATCCTATATAGCAGAGCCATCTCAAATTACGACAGCAATTATTGAGTCAATGCCAAGAAGCCCGTCCCTATACTTGACAAATTTAAATTACATGATATAATTTGGGCTTGCCTTCTAGATAGTTAGGTCATCAGCCAAGGCGACGCATTACAATTCATGTTGGCTCGCGTTCAACGCCCGGCTTCCATAATTATTCAATGGTATTTTAACAGCGGCCAAGAATTGACACTGACTGTGAGATGGGACAACTGAGCCAGTCAAAACAAAAACAGAACGGCTAACGCACTGATTAATATACGCAAAGCAATCAAATTTTGATTGAGACCAACACAAGTAATATAATTGAACTTTGCGCATGAAAGTATGTAAGAGGTTAGAGGTCCTTTCTCGTTGACAACTAGATTTTCTGGGGATAAAAATGATAAAATACAAAGTTCAAACCAAATTTAGGTGTTTGCCGTAGTCTTGGAATGGTTAATAAGATAGCTTTAGCTATACAGCGAGGTTGAGACTTGCTAAATATTTTAAATGAATCGTGCACGCAAAAGTGACAGGTTAAAATCGTTCCAAGTTGATGGCCGTTCATCCCTCCCACAGAGAAGTGTTGTTGATTGTCTGGGGGTTGAAATTTGACAAATACAAATTACAAGGTCCTCGCGCATTTAATGCAGCTTCAAATTAGCATAAACACCGATCATTCTAGCTGCTTTATCGAACTGATTGAATGTATTGAAAATTCATTCATTCCTCCAACTTCGGGAGAAATGGAATAATATTTCTGCACTGACTAAATTTGGCATAGCTATGTTTTACATAAAGCTAAATCCCATTCTGATGGCTGTATATTATCGAGCAAGTATAAACGAACGCTGCGTCTAATTTGCATATCAAGCGTAATGTTTTCCATATCTCAAGAACATAATTTCTCTTGTAAAAGTTGATACATTTCTAGAATTCAACTAAGCTATTTAAACACCTCAAACTAAACGAACTTTGTTTATACTAGCTAGCTCTATCAGTTGTAAACTGTTAGAGGTCTAGTGCAGGTCGTATATTAAGCTTTTAATAGCGTCTAGCATTTTTAATCTTTCTGAGGCAGTTCAGACATAAACCACGGCATTTTAGTGTATAAACTTTATAATAGGTATCGCGATAACGTTTTTAAATCAGTATGTGAGATCTTAGATGTATGGAACTTTCCCATCGTTATTTTTTCCTATCTTAAAACATTCTGCCCTTTTCTTATCTTTTACCAGTAAACGACATCCTATATATACATATTTGATAACAGGATGCAGCCTTAATTTCACCTTAAATGGATGAAAAGACTTGTATAGGCGTTTAATATACTTAACAGGCTTCTCGACGCTTGGGTAAAATTCGTAAATTGCTTACGGTTCGATAATTTTAAGTATTGATTTCAGATTGCAAAAGATCTTAGGAGTGAGATAATAAAATTTAAAGTCACCGCGTTATAATCTCTTATCATTCTGGGTGATCTTAATTACTCGTCAGTGTCAATAAGGAATGTTTTGCAATAGTTTGGGCCAATTACAAACAAAAGAAATGTTCGCCACGAATAAAACAGATACTCCAGCATGCATTTCGCAAGCCAACTCCCCACCAGTAAAATAAACATCACAAATGTGTAAAAAATGTATAATTTTATAGCCCACAAATACAGTAGCGCGAAGCGGCCACCTCGGTAAAGTAAACAAACATCTATAACGCTATATTTACATAAGCTAAAATTCCTTAAAAAATTCTAATATTTCATACGTGAAATTGATAGTGGTTCGTTTGGTACTTGAAGTCCTTGGAAATGTTTTAATGTATATCTCTTATATATACCAAATTCTTTACAAGTTTCTTGATTCGTAAGTTTAGCAATCGCATGCGTCGTTTATGCTAACTAAGCTTTGGTCGCGAAGCGTCAAATATGCTAGCTAAGGTCGCTAGTCTCTTGGGTGTCCCTCAGCAATGCGCCATTAAATCTAGCTGGCTTCGTGCCATTCTAAAGCGATGTGTAACTGGACCATTGGGAGATCTTTGATGTCACTTTTATTTTAGGAGCGGTCAGATACTTGGTCGTGAGTTCAGAATTTGCTGTGTTTAACGGTTGCGGTGTACATGTGTATAGAAGCTGCGACTGCTCGATATCGCTAGTTAGGTTTAGAGTCGATGCGGTGATAAACGGTAGCATATTTTGACTTGTGCTTGTGGTCATTTGTGGTGATTCGGGCGGGCTACATGAACCGAGGTGGTACACGCTGTTTGATGCACTCGTCTTACCGCTTGTGGTTATATTACTGCTTGTCGTTGGCGACAGCGCACTATGGAAAACACTACCCGCCGTACTTGCTAAATATAACTGTTCAAAATCAGTACCCTCGATATCAGAATAAGATATTAAATCACCTGTGAGGTCGCCAACATCGTCGAAGTCCAGGGCATCGCCGGGTTCCTTTTTAACCCCACTATCTCCTACCATTGTCGGGCTAAAAGTGATCGCCAAATCGCCCGATCGTGATGTGTCGTTCGCTTCAATCTCGTCGAAATTGAGTTGTCTATCAGGGGAGCTCGCTCGGGATGAACTTGTTGAGAATTCGGAGTCGGTATTACTCGGTCGTCTATCGATGTTATTCGCTTCCTCGTCTTCGTCCTCGTCCCCGTTGTCAGATTTCAAAACTCTTAAAATATCTTTAGCTGTGATTGTGCAGTCTGTGTGTTCGGGGCTCGATTCTCCCTTTTGCCGCTTGCGACGGGGCTGGTATTTGTAGTCAGGATGATCTCGTTTGTGTTTTAAGCGCAATCTTTCTGCTTCGTCAATAAACGGTTTTTTCTCTTGTTCGTCGAGAAGTTTCCACAGTTTTCCCAAAGTCTTGCTCAATTCTGCGTTATGCAAATTCGGGAATTGGTCAGCAAGCTTACGCCGTGCAGCCTGAAAAGAGAAAATTTAAACTTAGGTTAACGAACCATAGTTAACATAGGTTGTTGCAAACGTTAGATTATGTTAAATTACCGTGCCAATCCTATAGTTACATGTTGGAATTCCATTTAACTTCGGTCATATTACTCATATTGTTTAAATTATTTCTTGTAATGCTTAGAAGTTGATATATCAGTTGATCAGTGATCGTTTTGCCATATGAAAGTCTATTCTGAAGTGTGTAGCAGTATTCTGCTATGCTCTCCAGTAAAAATTATTATGGAAGTTGAACGCTTTATAATTTAACTCTTATTATTTGCATGCAGAAGCGTGAGCCAATATTGAGAGACTGTCATGTACTTGGCATGTCATTGCCGCAATTGAGAGCATCTAAAATTTCCATAAAATTTGACCTGCATGTTATACAAATATAATCTAGAATGCGTAGACATTCGCGGTATCAAGATGCGCTTAAAAGCAATTTGGGATACTGTCAGACAGTTCGCTGCCGTAATTTATACAATGTCAGAATACGGTTACTTCAAATCTTTAATACTGAGAAGCGTGCGTTATGAAAATCACCAGCGCAATACATAGACATGTGCGCATATTTCGCAAATTTACCTGTGCGTACACCATGAAAGCATTCATGGGTCGTTTGACATGTGGTTTCGTCTTGTGGTTGCCATTAACGCGAAGTGGCAATGGTAATAAACTCCAGTCACATCCCTCGAGTACGTTATTCACTGCCTTCGATATAGCGGTGTCCAATCCAGGCTCGCCCTCGACAGCTACCTCGCCGAAGTTACCGTTTAGAAATGATTTAGAACCCATGATTACTTGTCAAACCTTGCTTTGCTTTTGATGTGCACTATACAGCTCGCTCGCTATAAACTGTCTAAGTTTTTATGCACAGTCTATATGAGAGTCCAAAAATTACATGCCAGTTATTTAATTGGATATTTCATGAGATTATCACTTCCTTCCGCACTGGGGTTACATAAGGAAGCAATCGTTGCCGAACACAGCGAGCTGATTGGTCGAAAGCGAATGCATTGACCAATCAGAGCGCGCGATCCTGTGGTGTGATATCTAATAGGCGTGTTCTATAGGCTGAGGTATTTGGTGCGTCCGCCAGAAAGATATAAATTATATAAACACCCAACCCAATCCGATTCCAGCTAGAAATAGTCGCAATTAACATATTCTGGAATTTTCATGTCACCCTCCCCGTAGAGATGGACTATAACTAGACACCTGTAGACTCAGACCTCTGAACCTCTACACAAAACGCATTTTCGTGACTATATGTTAAAGCTTGCAAACTACGTTGCTTAATCCCTGCAGGGCTGTTCTTTGCTCTCTGCCGGATTGTTCATGGCTTTCTTCAATTAACAGTTCTTATAACGTCATCACCTTTGTATACAATTTAAGAAATGTCGAGGCACAATCATGCACGCGCGATTTCCGTGCAATGCGCAAAATATTCTGGTTTGTACGTTACTCCGAGCGCGTGCATTGTGATAATATACAAGTGTAGATTTTGCGCAAATTTTAAATTTGACGCAGAAACGGTGTACGCGTCAAACGTTGTTCATGTCTAGTCTACGTGTGTTGACAGACGTCATATGCAAGCCATCGTGGTTAACCGCCAGGTCAGCGATATTTTGAGATTGTCTTTATCATTGCGTGTCCAGGCGTGGTTCACGTGTGTGTAGCGTGTTGCATGTCATGCGAATGTACGCTTTTCACATGTAGGTGCGATGTCCGAAGACGTTTAGCGTTTTCTCGATTTCATGCAAAAACACACAGACCTGATAATAAACATTTTGTCACGCGCATTTTTTCCCTCGAGGCAAAACCACCGCTGGGTACTTACAGACTGACAGTCTAAAGTGGTTTAATTTTGACACATGCATTTTATTTATATGGATTGACGTTTGTTGACTTTTGGTGTGTTTGAACTTTATAGTTTTGTGCTAGTGCGCGGTTTTGTGGTTATGAGCATCACGTCTGAACCCCAAAACTATCTACATGTTGTTTACTACGATAAAATACATTTGTGATGTCAAACTCGCATCATGTCGTATATGTAAAATGTAATAATTGATATGACCTTTTTTATACAAAATGAAAAATATGTAATTCCAGCGGTCTTGCGGTCGCACACAATTGCGGTGTATGTTTGTAGTCTAATTGCACGACTGACTGCCACAAATATATTAATTGTAATACCAGGTTAGCTTTTAATATGACCTTGTTTGTTTATATGGAAGTTTTTGGAAATATGTGACTATTATTATTGGGGCATAATGTTAGGAGACTTTGCTGCAAATGTAATAGGTTAGGCATAAAGAAATTACGTATGATTCTTATCGCGAAACGATATCTTTGCTTGAATACCTTTGAACTCCGGTTTCTTCCTGTGGTAGCATTGTTATGAAGACGGTCATTACTGGATCTCAAGCGAGAACAGTTTAGAACAACGGTAACTCGAAAATAATTGTTACAGTTTCGACTTGAAATGTTTCTTTCGTGCGCGTTCAAAAATCACAGGAAGTGTCTAATTATATGATAAATAAAAATAAACATATTTACAAATTATTAATCACTTGTGAAGATCAGAAAATGAACCTTATCATAAGTTTATTTGGCAGAATGTATGTCTGTATAAAGTATAAGTGGCTACTACCCTATTACTGCATATAAATTATAATGTTGAAAATTTAAACTTGTTGGAATTTATTAATATGATGCAAATTATGCAAATTCACTGGAAAAAATAATGAAATCCTTACTGTGTCTACTATGTGATTTGCAATGGACGACTTGCGCTTTAGACTAAATTTTAATCTAAGTAAGAACAACGAAATCTATCACCACAGCTAGAAAGAGCGTCTTGGAATTAGTAATATTACAAAGTTTGGCTGCGAAATGTTGTAAAATACGGAAAATATAGCCCTTCAAAGTTGGCAAATTTGTATACTTTTGTATTACGTGCGTGAATTGGTAACTAAACTAGTTACCAATTTCCGCACGTAATAGAAATGTATACAAATTTGCCAACTTCGCAGGGCTATATTTTCCGTATTTTACAACATTTCGCAACCAAACTTTGCAGTTTTTCTAATTTTGATAACTTCTTTCCGAAAATATCCCTTGTTATTTCCATGGTAATAGTAATAGTATTTATTTAAAGTCAATACATAGGAAGTGATTACTCAATCTCCCGAGCCATATAGGCTCATGTTAAAAATGCTCGGCTATTTACTCTATGCGTGACTACATGAAATTTAAAACAAAGTAAATGAGAAACCATACATAATTGGGACTAATGGAGAAACTATACTGTAGTATAAAATGTTTAAGAATTAGATACATCTCGCACACCTACAGCAGAGATTGAGTTTGTTAGTAAAATGTATTCTTGAAATTGAAGAACGAAACTCGGATAACGAGTTGGAGTTTTTAATATCATTAGGTAGCTCATTCCAAATATGCGAAATATGATATAAGAACATGAATTATGTAAATATAAAGTATTCTAACTGGCCTGCTCAAAATTCAGACCAGTATTTCTAAGATCGTAACGCGAGGACCGTAATTTAAAAAAAGTTTGAAATATATTGGGGCCCATGAAGACGTGTACATTTAAAAAACATAATTAAAGACTGTTCAAACCGTCTTTGTTCCAAAGAACGCATTGATGCCATATTCAAAACTATTTCGTAATCTGAAGTATTACCCATATAAAATAGTATATCCTGACCATGGTATGAAAATTGCAATTAGTATGAAATTAGGATTTCCAGCAAGGATCCGTACTATTTCCATTGTAAGGATTTGGAAAAAAGTTTCCAGTGATCAGTACATGTACGCAATATCTTTTTAAAGATCTTTTTGGTATTGAGGAGAGAATATAAATACTAAAATACCCCAAAGGGACTAAATAGTTTCTTTATACCATACCAGCCACAGCTCGAATCACACTCTATTAAAAGAGAGGTGTTGGTGAATGGTGACACCAATTGTTATTGCATTTCATTGCACTTTGGAAATCCTGTTTTGATTCCGGCAATATGTGGTTGTGAATGCGAATTGTATTTGGAGTCGAACCGGAAACACTTGTCTGTGAAATTATATATTTTCCACCACTTTGGAATGAGAATTGTTTGTCCGGAAGAAAATTCTCTTGCCATCGGCTATGTTTTTACCCTCGCATTTTAAAAAAAATTTGCAGTGAATGATTGCAGTAAGGAAGTGATTAAGAATTAGACATGGAATGCTGACCAGAATACATAAACAAGAAAACAATTTAGTATATAGCAATTGATTTCTGGTAAAAACACTGACTCGCATGCCCATGTAGTCGGACAACCAAGAAGCAATGTTAACACCCATTTACACGATATGACTGACTGTACACAATTGTCATTCTGGCGTATCTGCTGAAGCCACTATTCCTGCTCATCAGCGTATGGCGAAATTTGAAATGTGACATCTTTACACGTATTTATTGTTCAAATACATACGCCAAAATAAGAATCGTACACGACCACGGATCTTTAGATCAGTGTATACGACAAGTCGTATCGTGTAGATGGTGTAATTTTCACTTGACCCTGAAATTAATTAAATCACTTATTTAATACGACTACGCATTGCAGGAATTTAATCCTCTGCCTGTAACGCTTGGTAAACGATCTAATATATGTGTAATCCAGTACTGGTGCATCCCTTAAGGCTAATTTACACTATCAAAGTTTCTGTGATCAGACAGTGGAGATTTTGCATTGGTAAAGTTTTGAAGGATTTGTAGGCTAAGAAATGTTTGAGGGAACTGACTTGTGTATTAACTCTGACTATGTTCCCACAAATATTTCTTACAAATCCTTCAAAACGTATAGAATTTACCTATGCAGAATTCCTACTGTGATCACAGAAACATCGATAGTGTAAACCATGCCTTTACATTGTGTGTGGTATGACCGAGGTCCCTGGACGGAAACAAAAGCACTCCTCTTGATCATAACATAAACTACATGGCTAACAAGATCAACGCTATCCGACTATCCAAACATACAAAGCCTTTCGCGGTGATGGTGGTCAATGCATAAGTATATACTACAATACAATCAGCAGGTTAAAAATCACAAACCCCCAATGGTCTTAATATTTAAAACAAATGTTATATGACATTGGGGGCATTTCTTATTAGGGATGTTGGTAAGAGAAAGCCTGGTAATGCAACAACTTTCGGCATTCTTAACTACTTGAAAAATACAAGGGTATATAATAAATATGTTTTTACAAACATCAATAATAATAATTCAGGAAGAAAACATACAAAAAAATCATGACCGTGAAAGGAGTTTGTATATCTGATACAAAACCATACTCATTTACATAAACTGTAAGTTTAATTCTCTCACCAATTATCAATCATTTGATTTATCTAAAATTGTTGAAGAATACGAGTGTTCTCATCGACACGTTGTAAATAGTGAACTGTTTTTTGCCAGTGTATAGTAGTGCCAATAAAATGAACAAGCTTTCGTTGATAGGGATGCAACTACCTGAAAATATATAAGGATAATTTCGACATTTCGAGCCTATTATATTTTCAGGTAGTTGCATCCCGACCAACGAAAGCGTGTTCATGGTATAAATAGTACATGCAATGTTCTCTCGAAATTTTCAACCAAAGGCAAAATTTTGATCATTCTCATTTTATCATTCGGTTCATTCCGAGGTTCATTCCTTTTATCATTCGCACAAAATGCTAAACATGCAGATTCAATGGTTCACTCGTACCACACACAGCTTGCGAAAAAAGGGATAGAACTTTGACCTAAGCCGTTCACACAAGTCTAAAATTTCAACAGGGAGACCCAGTCAGTATTTGACATCTAGGCAATTATTTGCTCATGTCGGGTTAAGCAGATTCCTACGTCTAAGATTTCTGTGTTTGTAGTAGTGGGAC